TTAGTTTCATAATGAGTGATGTGCTTAAAAATGATGGACAATAATAAATGTTGAGAGTGTCAGCAAAGAAAAGGAAAGAGAGACAGACCCCCACAAACAGGAAGAAATGCTAAAGTTCAAAAGGTTATTTTATGGAATTTAGGTTGTATTTAAATATTAATTTTTATGCTCTAAAATAAATGAAATTTTATAATTTTTATTTATTTTCAAAATAATAAAACACTTGATATAAAAATTTTAATTTTCTTTTATAAATTTCGTGCCAAGGCAATTGAATTCACACACGTTTACACTTTTTATAGAAAACACTGTAACACTGACTTTGAGGGGTTTATTTCTTTTTTTTTCCACACAAATTAAAATTTCTTTCGTTATTTTTTGCTTCTATTCTATCATTTACAATTGACTTAATTGACCCGTATTGCGGTATGTAACTTTCAATGCAAATACAAATTTCGACTTATTTATTTTAAATTTATTACTACACTGTTTTTAATAATTTACAATTATTTATAACGTTTTAGAATAACAATAAAACGCACCCAAGTTTAAGGTTCAAGTTTTAAAATATCACTGAGAACTTTATGAAAATTTTCCCATTTACACTTGGCCACCACAAAATTCTTAAGAACTGATTTAGTTTTTTTTTTTGTTTCGTCTTCTCTATTTTAATAACAGAAAAAAAACCCAAGAAGACTGCCAAGACTAAGAAAGAGTTGAATTTCCGTTTTATGAGTTGCGATTTTTTTTAGAATTTTTCGTTTTTTAATTAAGTTGTTTTTGTTTTGAGATTTTTTTCTTGTTAAAAGTCGTTGAAACGATGACGTAAATTTGTTGATGACATCAAGGGGATTTTTTTCTTGATTTGATTTTTTTCTCGTCCCTTTATCTTATAAGACTTGGCCAATATTTACTAATCTGCACAAATATTAGCGCACTACTGAGTAAATAATATGTTGCAAAGATGCGCTTTACCCTTGTTTCTTCAAATGAGTGAATGAGTGATAAAACTCTCATTCTCTCTGTGCAAAAGTAAAACCAATAAAACCGGCATGTTTTGCTAATTGTTACTGAGAGTAATATTTATGCTCTCGAGTCTCGTTTGTCGAAGTTGTGATACATTTCTGCAACATTTGTTTATTTAAAATGTTTATGTACAACAAGTGGTTGTTGCCAGTTTGAGGTAATGTTGTTGCAAATGGTTATTGTTTGAAATTTGTGTTATATTTAAGGGATTTATTGTATAACAGTTATAAATTTATTATCTGCCATAATTTGTTGGTAAATTAGTGTGGTTAGCAACCTTTGGCGCTGTATTTGAACAATTTAACATAGTAAGGAAACCAACCGTTTTATTATAACAGTAGAAAAACTGTTCTACATTTTACTAATGGTAATGTATGCCAGTTAAGGGTAGCAAAACCGAAGGGCAGTGTTGCCAAAACAATTTTAAGTCATGTACCCAATCTTAAACCTGAAGTCCCTTTTTAAATTGAAATCCCTATGGGCGCAATATTAGATTTCGTTTTCTTCTAGCCCCACATACAAGTGTCACCCTAAATACATGTTCATGTGCCGGTTCACATGGGCAACTTTTTCATAAGTCTCTTTTAAAGTAGCGAAAGACAGAGAGTTAAAAATTAGTTCTCTGACTGGTTTTGCTTATTCCCTCCACCACCATCAGTGATGATAGAGGGTATATATAAGTTTCTCATTCCATGTGTAACACTAATATATGTAGATTCATCTGAAACTCAACAAAGTATATATATTCCGGACCCTTATCAAATTCTGAGTCGATTTAGCTATGTCCGTCTGTCCGTCTGTCTGTGTAAAACACGCTCACGTTAAAACTAAGCAAAGGAAATCAACCAAATTCACCCAAAATATTTATTGTTATCCTAAGCAGTTTGGTATTGAAAATCAGCAAAATCGCTTCAAGACGTAATAAGTTATGAGTAAAAGTTTCAGACCACCTCGAAAAAAATTACCTTTTTTTCTTAATTCTCGAGTAGTACAGATTTCTGAATTGTATTTAAAATTTCTAAATTACAAATATGTTTTTTCTTTAATTTCCTACCGCTCTTCTTCAATTTATGACTTTTAGTTCTAAGTCTGTAATTTAACTGCAGATCAACAAAATATGTAAATATATGAAGTGATGATTATGCAACCAAAGATGAAGAGATAATTCAAAATTGTCGATTTCTTATTATTTATTTATTATTCAACAAGAGAATTTTTAGCAATTATTAAATATTTTATATTTTGTATAAGGTGCCAAATCTAGATTAAAACAATTATCAGTGCACGTTGGATTGAAATGAATAGAAAGTGTCCCTTAATTGAAAGTTTAATATTAAGTTTTTGTCATATCGACTAAAACTAGAAAAATTTCTGCACCACTGTAAAAAATTTCAAATATCTTACCCGTCAACTGTCTTCGCCTTGTCAAGTGTTCAAATCCAAACTTGGGAAAAAAAAGAAAAATTTGGGTTTTGTTGCTCCATATTTTGCTATTAACATTTTTTTCTTGAAAAACTTATTTTGTTCTGCTAATATGTGTATCAAATATATCTTGTGTTAGCTATTTAATTATTTATTAAGATTAAATTTTGAAAAACGAAAAAACGTTTCGTTTCATAAATTCAAAAATCTTTGAAAAATGTTAAAAGACAGCTGAAAACATTGACGGCCTACTGCAAATTTTAAGCCGCCACAGAAATTTTAAGTGTCAACCGTCTCTAATGTGCAGGCGCAGGGCTCTGGTCAGCTGTTTAGTCATAGCGATTTTAATTTTCCGGAATTATTGAAGTGAAGAAAAACACGCTACCAAAGTGATACATATAGAAAATTTACGTAAATTTTAATATTTAAATTGAAACTAATAATAGAAACGAGAAAGTACTAAAAACAGTATGGTGATACCCAAGGAAATATTGAGTGATTACAAGGAAGTGTACGAAAAAGCCATCAAATTGGTCAATGAGGAAAGTAAAAATGACCCGCCCACAGACCCATATCGATCACATTATGAGGCCAGGGATTTACTATTGCAAATGAAGGAAAATCTTAAGAACTCTTTGATTTCCGTACAAGCGGAGGAGGCCGACAATGGAGTAGATGACTTCACCTATAAAATTATACAGGCCTTTGTTTGTCGTGATCTGGGACGCATTTATGTTTTCTGTGAGGAACCCTCGACAGGAGAAAATTATTTAAAAGAATGTTTAGATTTAGTTAAGGAGAGAAAAATGGAACCAAATGCTGTTATACCCTATGTAGGGGCTATGAACGAATTGGGCATAGTCTATGCCAATCGGTCGGAATATAAAAAAGCTCATGAATATTTAATTGACAGCGAAAAGGCCTACAAAGATTTCAAGTCATCTTCCAAGAATGCTTTAGCTATTACCGATGTCTTTGGTACTGAAGAGGAAATTGAAGAGGGCAAAGGTCCTAAGGAGTTGGAAAGTCTTTACACTTTGTGTACTTTTTATATGGCTCAGGTTTATGGTCACCTGGGAGAATTGGTAAAATCTGCTCAATATTGTCATTTAACCTTGAGAAGACAAGTGGAAGCTAAATCATATGAGGCTATCGATTTTGCCTTAAACTCAGCCACTCTATCGCAATACTTTATAGGACAGAATATGTTCAAGCAGGCACGTCATCATTTGGCCGCGGCCACTTTGGTAATGGCAGAACATGAGGAGAAAATGTTAACACCACCCGATCTTACGGACAAACAAAAACAAGATATTCAAGAGACTTTTAAACATCGTTACGCAGATGTGGCTCGCTGTTGGGCCAAATATGGTTTAGGTCTATTGTCAGCTTCCAAAGATCGTTTATTTAACGATGATGATGAAAAATTAGCAGAAGGTAAGTTTATAAAGCAAAACAAGCATTTATAAGAAATCTAATAGACGCCATATCTTTACAGATGCTAAACGTTTAAAAATAGACGCAAATTCTTATCTTTTTCCCAATATGTCCCTGGATACGTACGAAAAACGTATTAGCTGTGATTATTGTTTAACTTTTGATGATGCCAAAGAAGTCTATCATTTTGTAACTAAATGGTTAGATATAGCCAAAGAGTATTATACCCCGGAAAATGAAGCTAGTGAATATGCTAAAATCATTAAGGATTACGCTGAACTTTATCTGCATATTGCTTTCTTCGAAGAAGATCCTGTCAATCAATCCAAAATGCAAAAGCGCAGAGCTAAATATTATGAAGAACTATTGGAGCTGTTGAATCCAGTATTTTATATGGCCATTTGTCGCGAATGTTGGTATGGAGCTGGTCTCGCCTATTGTGCTATTTTGGATATAAAACTGGACTGTTTCAAAGCCAATCGTACCGCAAATCCCCAGGAACTGCACAAAATCAATCAAGTATGCCATCAGGCCATACAGAACTTTAAAAGCTTTATTAATTCTTACACTGATAAGGACGGCAGCCTTAAGACTAACATCGATGTGGACGAACAACGTACTCTCCTCTATGCTCATTTTCATTTGGGAAGACTGCACTATAAAATTATTACCCCCGACCAGAATTTACAATTGGAGAATCTCTCCAACAGCCTTAAGTATTATAAAATATTTACCGACGAATGCGCTAAACTCGAGGAAGCATCTAAAGCTTTGCAAGCCGAAATTGGAGTATGCCGTGAAATGGTTAATTTATTGCCTTTAAAAATTGCCAATGTTAAAAAACGTTTGCATAAATAGATTTCCACTTTTGAAAAGGTAAAATATTAATTTATTTATTTATTCGTTAGTTGTAACATAAGCCTGTGTGCATTTTAAAAGCAACCCGTCTCAATTCTTGTCAGTGTCTAGTTAAAAAATAGTTCAAGCTTTTCTATAATAATTTAGCTAAAATAAAATACTCAAATTTTATGTCTTATTCTAAACTACTTAAATATGAGTAAAGATAAGTGTTGAGTTTTGCGATTTAAAGCCTTAAAATAAAACAGAAATTAACTTTTGTTCCCAATAAATATATTTATTTTAAAAGTACATTTTATAAAGTACTTTGTGATTTACCTTTCGATTTAACCGAAACGCTGTGCACTGAACCCAGAGAGCATCTAACAGCTATTGCGTTACTGGGTCTACGTTTTGAATATTCTTTTTGTACCCTTACCGCCAGTTGACGTATAGGTATAGCTGTTATAGTATCCAACAAATTGCTTTTGGCATACTCCACTACTTTGTCAACTAAACCTTCAATATTTATGCCACGCCCATCAAAAGAAACTTCCTTTTCCAAGTTATCTACAATAAAATGTACTGTATCATCACTTTGGAACTCCTCCAAAGGTAGAACCTCTATCAGTTCTTTAAACATATGGATCAATATAAATTGTTGCTTATTCAACACCCCGGTAGCTTGATTTAAAGCTAGCTTAGCATTATCATAAATACCCGATACAACATCTTCGGTATTAACATCCGAACGTTCATAATCAAATACACCCAGTATTTCATTAAACATTCTCTGTAAATCCTCACGACACAATAGCATTAGATACTTTTTTGGTATTAAATTTTGCAAATTCTCAATAATGCAATCCATAATATTATCGGTAACATTGCCCTCAAAACTATACGCAGCTTGACCCAAATAACGTGTCACTTTATAGGCATAACGTCGGACATTTTCCTTGCTGGTCATTTTACCGAAATGTTGCATGAATAGTTTTTGCACTACTTTCTGACAACGTTCCATTATAAAGTCGTCCGGTACCAAACGACTTTGGAAGGCCTCTGCATTAAAGATTTCAGGACAAACTTGAACATCATCGTTGGGTATCATTTCATGATGAATTACAACTTCTGCTGCTTCAGTTTCGCCGTCTATTTGTAATGGTTTCGATTTCATGCGTAAAGTGCAAATTTCTCTCTCCAGGAACTGTAAGAGAATTGTTAATGAATTGTTTGTTAATTGTTTATCATGATTACCTTTATTTGTTCCTTTTGCTCACGATCGATAACCATTAGCTTTTCTATATCTCGATCCAAGTTTAAATTTGGTGGTTTTAACCATTTTTCATAATTTTTCTCTTGATTGATTAATACTTTTTCTAAATATGAATTTTCTTCTGTAAGTACGGCCAAAATATTGAGCTTATCGGAATTCCTTTGAGTTTCCACTATAAGTTCTTCTTGAGCAAGGGCTAATTCTTTCTAAAAATAAGATGAGAATGAGAATAAATACTGCAGATTTGAAACCAATGGCTGACAGGACCAAAACTCAATTTATTAGAATTCGATAAATCTATTCAATATAAATAAAAATCTCTACCTTTTTCTTTGCCATTTCCAATTCCAATAAACGCAATTCTTCTTCAGCCGTAGTTTCTAATTCAAAAACATATTTACGCAAAACTTCTTCCTCCAATTCGTCCAAATTAATGACCATACCAAATTTTTTCATCATTTCCTGGCGAATCTCTTCCTCTAGACGAGTGATTTCGGAGCGCATAAATTTGATATCGGTATTCATGCGACGCAAATGTACAATATTAATGCGATGCAAACGTTTAGTTTCCAATGTCTCCAAATTTAATTGATCTACCCGTTCCTGCAGATCCATTATAATGGAAGAATCGAATAGTACAGCCTTGCTAAGATCACGATAATCCTGGCCTTCACGAAAATGTTGTATCTGATGCATGTGTAGTATAACGGATACATACACCTTATTTAATTCCTGTTGACGTTTGCGCTGTAAAGTAAAATTCAAAATTTAGTTTTTGGACCTAACCATAACTATAATTTTATTACTCTGAACTCCAATAACGTTTCATTTTCCTGTGTATAAATATCGGTATGATGTTTCATTAGTTTTTGTGCCTGTTTAACTTCATCCTTTTTCAATTCGATTTCTTTAAGCGCCTCGTCTAAAGCACGTTCTAATTGGTGTCTATCAGAGCGTAATTTGAAGGCCAATTCATACAATGGTTTTTCTAGACCAGACGGACAATGGGATTCATCTAAAATTATGGTAGTCATATCGGCTGAATCAATACTTTTGCTATCGTCCTCTTCCTCGCTGGTAGATTCGTCTTCAGAGGAAGACTCAGAGGATTCTAGAAAAATATTAAAGAAGAGAAATTTTAACAATTTTTCCTTATTGAGGTGATTAAATAAAATCCATTATGGATAAAATAATATGAAAACAGTTGGCAACCTTCCTTATTACTTAAACTACCATCCGATAGATGGCGCCACATACAAAATAGCTGTGTTTAGTAAACATAATTTAATAAGTTTATAATTCCCATATTCTTTTTTCTCATTTTGATGAAATAAATAGCAACTCAATTTGTATAATTGACGGAAGTGTGTGTCTTCTGTTTGTGATGGCACGTAGCTGGACATTGATCGCTAGACCGTTATTAGTGTTTGCAGATCTGCTCAGTGGCATCCGTCACACTATTGTTTCCCCAATAAAATTTGCTTGGCAGACGTTTGGTGCTGAAATTCAAATGCCGGTCTTCTGTTGCAACGACGACGGGTCGTTACGCACAGTCAAGCCGATGTCTCCCAAGAGCTAGTGGCGAATGATGTTGGTTTCCGCCGCATCATTCAACAAAGCTCCTGGTGTGTTTACATTCGCTGTGAGACCAGCATCGGATTTCCCAGTCTGTCGTTTTCAAAATTTCTTAGTTAAGTAACTTGTAGCTTAGCTTCGGATTTTCGTAAATTTGCAGTTCAGAACACTTCCATATCAGTGGCATTGCCGAGCAATTTGCCCATTTCTTTTGTTATTTTTGTTTTTAATTAAAAATACTATTTCGTATCCTTCCTTCATCATAGATTTTGTTTTTTTTTTAAATAAATGTTCCATTTATGTTGAGTTTAAACGCTACACTGGCATTTTTAAGGCAGAAAGCTATTTTCTGAAGGGGAAATTATATGGGGCTAATGGTCCGATATTAGCGATAAATAAAATTACTTTTTATCGCGATTTCATTGGCATAAATACATATTTATCCAGGCACAACTTTCGAAGATTAATTTTAATGGTTAAAATAAAAATACTCTAAATATGTAGTATCAAATATATCCTACTTACCATCTGGTCCTTTAACCGCTTTGGGTGCTCGCCATTTCTTCTTGAAAATGCGACGCAAAAAATCAAAGAACTTATGACCCTTGGTGGTACTCATAAACTTAACTTGAACCGAAGAGATTTGTTCATTAATGCGATCACAATTCTTGCGTAACTCTTCTATTTGACGATTTAAACTATTAATAGAAGCTTGGGCCTGATTTCGTATTTTCATGGCTTCTTCGGCATTATTCAGCAATCTATTCTCAATTTCTTCACTATCACGTAAGATGTATAATTCCTGATTGAGAGCGATTAAATAGCTGGTCATAAATTCCACCTCGAATTTGGTATGTAAACGTTCGTTGTCCAAGTCCCGCAAACGAGCATCAAAGAGACGTATATTGGTGTGTACCGTATGCAGTATGCCCTCTTGTTCCACCATCAAATCCATTAGCCAACGATAGCGTATTTCTATAAGCCAGGGTGGAGGTGTATCGCCGGTATTGTCATAGTAAAGTGGATCAGCTTGATGAGGTAACTTTTGCAGTTCATCGATAAGTTCTAGGCCATCTGGAAAACATTCAACGCTTTTGATATCTAAAGCCAAGTACTTTTCCAATTCGTGTAGAGCCACTTGGGTCATGGTGGCCTTAACTTTAGGTGGTGGAGGCTGAGGCAATAGACTCTCTACCGTTTTATCCAGGTAAAGAATATCCTTAATTTCAATATTACAGCCGGGATTGCAATGTTCAATCATATTCAATTCCGGCCATTCTTCATCCATATTGAGTGTTGGTATTTCCATTAAAGATTTACGATTCTTCGCCGGCAAATATGAGTGGATTTCCTCCAAACGTTTGCGTTTTTGCTCAATACATTTATAAAGCTCCTTTTTCTCTTCTCTTAGCTTTAAAACTTTATCATTGAATTGAGTAATGATTACATTTAAACGTTCCCGGAGTGTTACAATTTCTTTGTATTTCCAAGTCAAGGTTTCAAATGGTTGCGGTTCATACTCCTGACCCGTTTTAAGTTTATAATCTCCTATACTTTTTTCTGCTTCTTGAATTTTATGATCATCATCGGGATGATTACGATTGGGATCTGGTTTCTGTTTAACCATTTTCTCCCAATGATACATACGCTCGACTTCGTACCATTGACGAGAGCGATAACTTCTTAATAAACGCAACATTTTGCGACTGAAACGTGGTATTATAGTATTGGGATCACGGCCAAAGAAAAAAGTTTCGGTAGCTGGTTCCGGCATACTTTCTTCCTTTTCCTCGGCCAACATTAGTTGAACCGGTCTGTGATAAAAATAAAAATTAATAATAGATTATACACATTTTTCGAACTTGCGACGTTTAAAAATTGATTTCGTTTTAAGGTTTTCTGTTTGAGAATTTCTTACTCAGTTGCTAGTGTGGGTGAGGTCTCCTCAGTAGTGTTATCCCTGTTTAAGGCAGCGTGTAAAGGTTTTAGAATTTATTGTAACTTAATAATTGTTTAATAGTATTTTTGAGTGTTTCAAACATCTGCATATCAGAAATTTCTAATTGTATTTACGAATTTTTATATTGTATTTCAGAAATTTGTATATAGAAAATGTATAAAAATTTCTTAAATGTAAATTTAATTGGTCCTTTAAAAATTTTCTAATCTTGAATTATTAATTTCTGAAATACAATTCAAAATTTTTGAAACCCAGCTTCAATTAGAAATGGTGTAGATATGTAAATATGTTGTATATATTATACTTACACTCTTTTTAAAGCTTCTAATCTGAGACGTTCCTCTATATCAGCCTTAATAGCTTCAAAATTATCATCCAATCGTTCCACACGAAAAGTATATACAAATGAGTTTTCCCTAAAATATGCATAAAAACCGAATTCTAGACATAAGAGAAAAGGGATACTTTTCTAAATGATCTTACTTACCCTATCCCAGATATCTTAATAGGTATATGATCCAGTTTCTTAAAGAAATAATCATACAACTTTTGTTTGCCAACTTGTGCCACCTCCAAATCATAAGCCAAATCCTCACGCACATCATCCAATTCTGCCTGCAATTCACCTTTAATTTGATTCGTAATTCTTTCATCTAATAAAAGTTCACGTTGCGGTATTCGCAAATCTTCATGCATTGCCTCATTGGCCAGCAACAGTTCATCGAATTTCTTTTGTAACACCCCAATTTCCGTCAGAACCTTACGATCATGTGCAGCAGCGGCTTCCTCTTGTCGTTTAATTTCCGCATAGATTTTTTCCTGTTCTAATGAAGGATGTTCCGGATTATTAATATCTTCAGCGGGCACTACTTTTTTCGGCATTAATAAGACATTTTTTGATTTTTCAATCATGACCTGTGGCCCATGCCATTCGTATACGAAAACATTACCATCGTGTCCAATACTAAAGAGAAATTTACCATCTTGACTTAGTATCAGACAGGGTATATTGCCATTTATGGGATCATGCATATTAACTAAACGATAATTTCGCAAATCGGTAAAATCATTCGTATTCTTTTGATTTATGCGAATTTTGCCATTTATCATGCCGAAAAGAAGATATTCTTCACTGGAATTTTAATAAAATACAATTAGAAATTTCTAAATTATATAGGGTTCTGTTACAGAAATCAATTCCCATCGAAAGTGGAATTATTATTTATAAAAACTAGGATACTTAGATCTAGTTACTTACATATCCAAATAAGAATGTATTTCTATATCATCGCCTTCCTTAATAATAGTACTACGGACAGGCATATTAGATCCAATGGTTAATTCATATATATAACCAGCATCATAACCACCCATAGAAACCCATATAGTATTATCAGACGTATAACGTATCCATAATACTGGATTGGGCACAGCTGGTATATGTAAGGGCTCCTCTTCCTCATCCGGTTCAGAATCGGCTAGAAGTAATAATGTTTCGTATTGTTTTAAATAAATCACCCACAAAACTCACCTAAAGCTTGTTCCATATCAATTTGTAAACCCGGATTTGCTGCCTTTAACTTTTCAATTTCTTTCAATTTTCTTTGTTTCTTTTTATCTTTGCGCTTTTTGGTGGCAGCTCTTTTTATATCACGCCGTATGGAACTTTTGATTGAAACAAATTTCGAAGTTTTTATTTCATTTTTATTAGTTAGATTGTAACTTAAAAATGTCTCCTCCTCCGTTACCTCTAGGGGTAATTTATATTCAAAAACTTCACCCGATTTACAACCTATAAGGATAGTATGATTCGGATCTTTCCAATAGAAACAATTGGGTATGGCTGAAAATTCTATAAAACCCATGGGACGTAAATATATAAAGGCATCCTTTTTCTCCGACAAATCGTACATAAATATAGTGTGATCTACTGAGCCCGTCAACAGCAGTGTGTTCAAAGAGTTAACAGTCATTCTAGTGACAGCAGCCGTATGAGCTTTTATGGGTCGTATTAAATGTATTGCCGGCTTATTAGGCTGTGTTAGAGCTAGATAAATGTGTCTTATGAAGCCATCTTCGAAGCTAGCTACTAATTCCATACTGGAGTCTGATACATTGGGACTAAACCATATTAGATCTGTACCAAAAGCTTCGAATTTCTTTTCCAAAATCATCTTTTCGAATAGATAATCGTAAACTAAAAGACGACCATCTTGTCCTAGGGTCATGAGGTGCGGAGAAACGGGACTAGTTTGGGCCGCTACAACTTTACCACCATGGCAGGAATAAAGTTTATAGGAATCATTAGGGATATCGCTGGTATTGAGATCACAATACCAAATACCTCCATCACCATCCTACAAGGGAAAATGTGTATTTTTGTGAAAGTTTTAATTTAGTGTTAATTTCTTATATTTCGAATATATAATTCGAACTATCGAGCGAATACTTTTGGACGCTATCAAAATTATCACTTTCTTCTGAAAAGTTCTGAATATTACTATCTAAAATGTGCAAATCTTACCAATGCATAATAACCATAATCCTTGTCATCAAACAATTTAATTTTCTGTATCATACGTATTTCACATTCTCCCACATAAAATTCAAAAATCGGTTCAATTTCCACAAATCGATCATCATCGGGTGGATCAGCCAAATCCACAGTTTCCCAAAACCAAATACGAACATAACCATCCATGCCAACAGTAGTGACTTCACCATTATTCATGGTAATACGAACTATGGGTTTACTATGACAAGGTCTTCGACCCTTGCGACATATTTCAAACTTTATCAAACCAGCCTCCCACAGCAACATATTGCCCCATTCACAGCCTGATATGACATTCTCATCATCTAACATGTAAACGGCATAAATATCACTAAAATCGGTTTTACCAAAACGCCCCAAATCGCCTTGCAGCTTAAGACCCGTAAAAGTTTTCGCCATTTTCCAAAATTTTATGTGACTTAAGCCACAGCTAACCAATAGTATGGGATTAAATTGGGAAAAGTGAACATGTAAGACATCATTTTGAAAAGCTTTCGAACGTAAAATAATCTCTGCTTGCTGCCAATTCCAAATGGTGAGCATGTAATCTGGATAACCGGCTTGAGAGGCAAACAATTCTCCAGTATAATTGTAAGAACCGCAAGTAAATTGCTGTTTAGCAGCGCCCTCTAACTTCACACGTACCGCATGTGAGGGGTATTCGTATATAAAAACGGTAGCATTGGGTCCATTCTCGCCAATAGTTAGTAAACCTTGGTAGTCCGGATGATAGTTTTTCTATAGGTTTTCAATTTACATATAAATAAAATATGGAAATATTTAAAAATTCCTTAACAAACCGTTATGAAACCTATGCCGCAACCAAACACCGATTGACGAAATGTTACTTCTCTTTTGGAAATGCTAAAATAATGTATATATGTACCGGAGGCAAATACCAAGGTGTCATCATCAATTAGTACCATATTATACAAACGTTTGCAATCATAGCCAAACGAATGTCTATATAAAAAATATTTTTTCCATGAAATTTATTTGCTCTTTAATATTTCTTAACATTTTAAAATACATACTTGAGTTTTATAATATCCTCTCCAAAAGTTGGTATAAATTCCGGTTCTTTTTCGGATTCATTAGAATGTAAAGATATTTTATCTTTTTCCTGGTTAGCTTTATCCATTTTTATGCAATTTTTGTCAATAATCTTTATTATTTGAAATCAATTGTAATGAATGTGCTGCTTTAAAATAAAATGTTTGTTGATTTTTATTTCGTTTCGTTTCCCGGGTGAAAATTGTTGTCATTGACAATTAAATTAACAAGTATTTCAAATATTTTAATATGCACAATGGGAAAATAATCTGTCATTTCTAATACATTTTAAATAAAACATACTTTAGAAAATAATGCCTTCCATTCTGCTATATATCTAATTATATTTTTAAAATTCATTACAATTTTGGAAAGATTTCCTTCCCAGTTTGAGAATCGAACTCTAAGTAATTTATTCGTTGTAATAAGTTATTTAAAGCATATTTTTGAATAATAAGCTTTTAAGCCTAAAAGAGAACTGATTTTAAATTTAAAAATAATTGTAAATCAAATTAAAGCTTTTCAGAAGCTTCCATTAGTCTGCCTGATGAAGATGAAATAACAAAGCGTTTTTACATACACATATAAATACATTCTTATGTTAAATGTTTTTATATTCAAAATTTTATTATTAAAAATACAAATCCTAAGAAGTTTTTAAAATATTATATCTTTAAAAGCATCGTCATCATCATCTAGGAAAAATTCATCAATATTTTCAATTTCTTTACTTATGTCTAAATTTTGACTTGTATTCGTTACAGCAGCGGGTGACTTCTCATTGCCACAAGAAACTGAAAGTTGTTGCTGTTTTGTAGCTTCTTTTGTGGGTGAAAAGTAATTCTCAATTTTATTCGACTGTAAAGAAAGTTTTTAAAATGAAATTTAAACATTTAAACCACAAAAAAAGTAAATATAGAAATCTACCGTAATCGGTGCTGCTGTATGGGTAGCATCTTGTAGATTATCACAGAAAAGACCAGCTTCATTAAGAGTATCTTGTTTAGTTTTCAACATATTCCATATATGATCATCGGCTGTTTTTGTGGCCATTAAATAACGACATGTAACAGGATTTGTTTGGCCAATACGATGAGCACGACTTTCGGCTTGTGCCAAGGTCTGTAAAAGCACAATATTAAGTTTTTTATTGGTTTGGTGGTATATAAAAAATAACTTACACTTGGATTCCAGGTTAGTTCGGCAAATATAATTAACTCGGCTGCTGTTAATGTTATACCGGAATTACAGGCTCCCAGGGATAATACGGCCACTTTACATGAGGGTTTCTTTTGAAATGTTTCTATAAATTCCCCTCTTTCTTGTTTACGGGTGTTGCCATCGATGCGTATAAATTTTACTTTCAATTTAGTTAAGCATTCACTTATGGCATCCATCATTATGCGGTGATGAGCAAAAACTATAAATTTGTTTGGTCCCTTAACTAATTCCTTTAAATAAGCACTGAGATATAAACATTAGATTAATTTCATTATTAAACAAAAAATCTAATAAGACTTACCACACAGCTCTTTTTTTAACCTCAGCCGTTTCAGCATAAAATCTCAATAGAATTCTTTCTCGGTCTGCCGCTTTGCAAGTTTGTAAATTTTTGGCCACAGCATTTAAGGACTCCTTAACCTCATCGCTGGGCCAAACTAAGGCGGGATCTAACACCACTGTTTCTCTAGATTTCTCTGATAAATCTTTGAGTACTTCGGCTTTGGTTCTTCTAATCATGTATTTAAGATTTAACACCACATTTAGTTCCTTAAGATTAGATTGGCCCGTAGCATCCCAGCCAAAGTTTGTTTGTTTGCCATCACAATAACGACTGGCTGTAAAGTATAATTACCGATTTTAATAAATTAAATATATATGTATTAATAAAAAAACTTACTAAAATCCATAAAACCCATAAATTTCCTATCAACCATTTGTAATTGACTGAATAATTCCAAGGGTCTAGACAGAGCTGGTGTTCCCGACAACAACAGAACATGTTTTGCCTGTTGTGCTAAACGATCTGCTACCACGGTACATTTAGCTTTGGAATTTTTAAGACTATGTGATTCATCGAAAATAAGAAAACCAAATTTACGTTCCATTAATTGATTGACATTACGTTCCATCATACTGTAACTTGTGATGAGAACTTTACAATCACCAATATATTGTTGATTGGAATTCAGAACCTGTATATAATGTAGAGGCACGGCAGGTAGTAAATCTCGAATGTGTTGAGCCCAAGAATCACGTGTCGATGCGGTAGTACAAATGAATAAAGGCCAATCATCACGATAAAAATCCGCTACAGCAATGGCTTGATATGTTTTGCCCAAACCCATTTCATCGCAAATCATGCAGCGTCCTTGTTGGGCAATGGCGAAACTAAAAAAGATTAAAGATTTTGTTAAAAACAGAAAATTTTTTTACTAATTGCATCTATTTTTCACTAAAATCTTATATTAGAAAATGATTAGGTTCAAATCCTGATGGGATTTTTTTAAACACATATTTTTAAAGATAACATAATAACTTTATTTTATCATTTAAATGAACTTCCACTGTCATGGTCCTAGAATTTTTACAAATTTAAAATAATGTTTAAAAAATTCGAAAATACTCGAATAATTGAATCCCTGAAATGTTTGTAATGTCTTTTTTGCTGGGATGTAATAATTCGAATTTGTCATTTATCCTGCACACATATTGAAAAGGTCTGGGTTCAAATCCTGCACGGAAATTTTTTAATTTAATTTTTTTATTTTATTATTTTACTATATTCATCATGTTTTTTTTTTAATTATTTGAATCCACTGCAAAATATCTTGGGAACTATGCGAGCTATGTCCAATTATAGGTTCATCATTTCATTAATTCTAAACTAACTCTTACCATACACCATCCTGCTGAAAAGGCATTAATTTTTCCGCCAATTTAGGTTCTATCGATTCTAAACATGTTTTATTTATGATTCTAGGCGGAGCTTGACACAAATTAAGCACTGCTTTGGGTATGACACCAATGACAACGTCGGGTTTTAATGGATTTATGCGCTCCTGTAGTAGTTTATAATCCGTTAAGGCAAAATTCCAATAGCGGGAATTGGGATCTAAAAATAAACAAATAATTATTTTATTCGAACAAAACAATAAAATTGACAGCTTCATACCATAAGATTTGCTGGGAATACTTTTAAAAACATCAATAAGCTTGGCATGAAAACTAGATGGTTGTACTTCAAAACGTGCGGGTGTTATCATGGCCACTTTGCAGGTAACACTTTTAACAAAGATAGACGCTATTTGTTTTTGTGGTGTGGTGGCAGCGACTGCATTTAACATAGGTCCTTTGGGTTTGTCGGTATAACCATTGGTGCTGGATTTTTTATAGAAACTATTTGCATCTTTATTAGGCAATCCCTCATTCGAGGGCCTTTTATAGGGATGAGCTGCATCTCTGGCTGAATGTTGCTGTTGTTGTCGTTGCACGAAAACATTACTGCCCTTTAAAGCACTTAGAAATGAGGAAGCTTTATTTTCCACACGTCCCGCTGGTTGTGAAGAGGAATTTGTTGGTGGTGGTGTAGGTGTTAACTTTGGAGCGTTGTTATTAATGTTGTTCTGCTGGTTAGAACTTACATTACTGCCTGGATTCAATGCGGGTTTATTTAGATTATTATTTGAATTTATTGAAAGTTGAGCCTTTTTCGCTTTTAATTTTTCTAAAGCAATTCGTTTTTTCTCAGCAATTTCTGCTGCTGTACATGAAGACATTTTTAATTTTTGGGATTTTGATGTTAAAAAAATTTCATTTACAAAACTTAAACAAAATTATAATTTTTGTCCGCCTAAAACCAAAACAACTTGTGAAATTTAAAAATGTTGAACAGCTGTTGCAAGGGTTGCCAGAAAGTAATTTAGAAATCACTTAAGTAGGATGGTTCTACAAATCAACTTATAACGATAAAAAGTTGACCTTTGAATTTTTGCAATTTTTAAAAATATACTTTTCAAAATGTAAGGAACTTTTGGTACTTTAGTGTTCCTGAATAGTACTTTGTTTTCTATAATAGTGAGCCTATAATATTTAACTTAGAAACATAAAATATATAAATTCGTTTTTTTATTCAAATTTAACAATGTGACATAGACACATGTAACATGTACATATCTCGATTAAATGAAAATTTATTGTACTTTTAGGTTAGGTTATCCCAGGTAGCCGTTTCGGATTTACTTGGGTCCATGTTAATCCCTTTGAAATAATAAGAGAAGTAAGAGAGAGATAGGGAAAAGTGGAAAAAGAGACATTGGTAAAGAGAAAGTGAGAATAGCAGTAAGATTTTAAGAAAGAGAGAAGACACCAGGCCAGTTGCCATGGTTTAAACAGTGTGAATATTGGATTCACACCCATTTTGTCAGATTAATGAAATCCATTAGACGTTCTAATTGAATATTCGACAAATCAGACAGATCACCAAAGTATGTCGATCCAAGCGTCCGAAGTCTGGCATCCGCCAGAGCAGGACACTCGCATAGAAGATGAGTAATAGTTTCTTCTTCATCCTCGTTTTGACAACTTCTACAGTAATCGTTGAACGGAAGACCAATGCGTCAAGCATGGTTACCAAATTTACAGTGGCCAGTGATAATCGATATCAGCCTACTTAGCTGCGGTCTTTGCAGACCAAGAATATATTTAGACCTGAATCGTTGTCATATCTTACACGTTTATCAAAATATTTTATTTGATCTTTTTTCATCTTGTCTGACCATAAATAAAATAACAGTTAACAGGGATTTTAGTTACAACCGAATTCAAAGTAGCTATATTAGAAAATGTTTTTTTTAAATTATTCGACGTAAATTTCATTTAACCCATTAATGCCCACGGCGATCTACGTAAGGTAGAAATGTGAAATTTGGATATGACAGTTTTCTTGTGTATATAAACCGATTTCAATTAAAAAAGTTTTTCTATCTTGCCTTGTTTGGATTTTAGAAGACGTTACGTATACGTAACAATGGGCATTACCCACGAATTTTTGTCCCTTAAGTATTTTAAGTAAAAGTTACATATTTTTACCAAAAAATCGTAAAGGAACTGGTTAATTATTAAGTTTTAAGCTTGGATTAGCTAATTTGGTGTATCATACAAAATTTTTTCATATAAAATAAAAAAATATTTAAAAGTATAAAATTTTAATTTGTGGAATTTTGTAATTTCTGTAATGTCAATTAATGAATTTAAAGAAATTTGTATATTTTCTTGCAGCAACAGATATATTGACTAACGTTACACATTTTGCATACATTTACCAAAGGTCCTTGGCGCTTGTATCCTTGCAATTTCCCTAATAATCCAAGAAAATGGTCATAATTTTCAACCCATGTTTAATTTTTGAAGGATAATTGCAATTATATTCCGTTTTTCTTGTAAAAATATATATTTAATATTCGCCAACTGTGCCTTGAACAAGTTCTAATGCGGTCAAATGGCATATCCTTTACAGAAATTCTTAAAAAATTTAAAATATCCACGAAAGGACGATTTAATAGAAACATTTACATTAAAAATATATTGCTTGTCATAAAATATCAATATTTCAAGAAAATATATTGTTTTTTATTACGCTAAAAACCCATTCTTCTGATAAAAAACTATTTTTGAGGCAGATTTCATAAAAAAGTAAGCAAGTTGTTCATTATTTATATCGTATGTAGAGTGGGACAAAAAGTACTGAGAACTGCCCACTGTTACATATACGTAACACCTTTATTGTCCTCTTTATAAGTCTCCGCAAGGACATGGTATATGTTTATAAACAATTAGGTAATAAACATTAATTACTTCTTTATAAGTTTACGTCAGAAACTTTTTTTAAAAACTAACTACATAGAAGTTATTAACATTCTAAGAATTCCTCGAAAAATATGACTTTTTGCAGGTTTACGAAATAGGCACTTTACAAAATAACCCAAAAATACAATTCTATAGGCAAAAATTACTCAAATTCGATTTATAATCGTTAAGAATATGTTAAGTTAACCTATCCATCACAAAAAAGTAACTTTGCATTTTCCATTTCTGTGCATTTCGAGTCCAAATTCGAATTAATTTGCGTTACGTATATGTAACTGTGGGCATTAATGGGTTAAATTTCAAGTAAAATATTTTTATTCACTTAAAAACAACACAATTTGGTGATTTTTTATTACTATGTTGACATTATTGGTTAGGTATTACTGTAATTACATTGTTTAGAAAGAGAACAGAAAAGGAAATTGCCAAAAAACAATCAAAGATGAAGGTCAACATTTGAAAAAAAACTGTATTACAACATTGTTGCGGAAAGTAAACAAACGAAAAGAAAATCAAGAAATAGAAAAACTCATAGCAATAATAAAAATTTTAAGAACAAAGAAATTAAACAATTTGCAAAGAACTAAAGTGAAAATTTAAAATAAATCAATTTTAATTAAAAGCAAAAACGCATTAATTTAACAAAAGGACGACAACAACATGTCAACATTAGAAAAAGAAGAGGAACATTTGGTGGAAATGGCCACAACGCAAAATATAAATAAATTAACCCTTTTCGACTTGAGTTGGGAGGATGTGATTATACCAAAAATACTCAACTATTTAACACTCAAAGAATTATTTATATTACGTTGTTGTTCACAAACAACAAAACAATTAGTGGAAGCTACTCTAGAACGTCTTATTGAAATAAACCTTTCAGGTAATTCATCGCACAATGTGGAACTTACCTTTAAAGTGTTGGGTGACCATTGTAGACGTTTGGAAAATTTACATTTAGCCCGTTGCCATTGGCTAACCGATGAGTTGCTTTTACCCATTTTAGCCAAAAATAAACGTTTGAAAATTGTCAATTTAAATGAATGCATCAATATAACACCTCTGGCACTGCAGCCCATTATAATTGAGTGCAAAGATTTGCGTGTTTTAAAATTATCCAAATGTCAGTGGCTGACCACAGGTGCTGTTGATGCTCTCACATTGCATCAGAATAATTTGGAAGAGTTTGATATATCGTATTGCGCCGCCATTGGGGAACGTTGTTTGATTATATTCTTTAGGAAATTGAACAAATTAACAATACTGTCTTTGGCTCATACACCAAGTGTTACGGATCAAGTTCTAATACAGATTGGCAATTATTGTCGTGCTCTGGAACACATTAATTTGGTGGGATGTGTTGCTATATCGGATTATGGAATACAGTAAGTAGAAAAGTTGTTATTTTTATATTTTTTGTATTAAAATCATTACTGGTTATAAAAATTCATAAGATCAGTTAACATTTTTATCGAGAGACTTTTTTCATAACTGTCCATCTTGGATTAGATGAAAAATAGATTTTGCAAAATTTACGAAAAATTAATTGATTTTGGCAATTTTATAAATATATCTTTATTTCCCCTGTAAAGTGTTAAAAATTTTAAATAGGACCTCTTTAATAAAACCCATAATTTTAAAATCCCGCTTAATTCAGAATTTCAAACACCATTCATTCAAAACTTCATACAAAAATGTAATAAAAATTACGTATTTTTCTCATGACTTTCTTTTCTGTTTTTAATTGCAGTGCTTTAAGCAGTCACTGCTTACGTTTAAAATCGTTGCTAGTTCAACGTTGTCCACGCATTACTGAGCGTTCATTAGGACCACTGCGTAAACGTGTATTTATCGATAGACCCAATCAATTAGATTTCTATCAAAATGATTTTTATCCCAGTGATTTTTTAATCTATTAGCCGTGGCATTACTAAAAGGCAAAGACTTTATTAAAATAATTGTAAAAAGTTTTAATTTAATTAATTTTCCAGAAGTTTAACCAAAAATTGTGTACAACTGAAATCGTTAATGGTACAGAGATGTGATCTAGTGACCGAAAGATCTTTGGCACCTTTGAGAGGAAAAATACATATAGATAGACCCATTAGAGATCAAGGAGGCTTACAAATGCAATTAGTACCCTATGATTTGGATCAACAAATTAATCGCTTGTTTTTGCAAGTTTAAAAATGTTAAGTAAATAATTACAGGTGATAGTGTAAGTAAAACTTTGTAAATATTTTAATAGTTTTATTAATAATTTGTGCTTATAATTGTTTTAAACTTCTTTCATTAAATGGCTTTAAACAATTCTTTATGTTAAAATAGTTTTGGACAATGAATACATATGTACTATTATAATTAAGCTTAATTAATAATAAAAGAAAACTAAATAAAACCAAAAATTATAAATGTTATTTTAAATTTCAAAATAAAAAATCTTTAGCAAAATACATAATACATTTATAAATATAAAACATAAACTCTCATCATTGGGCTTCTATTAAAGGCGATGTAAAAGTCGATGTTGTTTCATCTTCCAATGTCAACTTTGTATCACACATTTGTCGACTAATGGCCTCCATATAGGATTTATGATTTTCTTCGATATTTTGTGAACTCCATTTTTCGTGCAACTTCTTGAGTTTATCATAAGCCGCCATAGACATGTTAAGACTAGGCATCACTTCCAGCAAACCCGGTTCTCCTGTAAATGCTAGACCACAAAGGCCTAAATAGGTGTGGAAAGGGTCGGTGGTGGAATGTGGCCACTTGGCAAAACCACCAACTACATTATCTTGTGTTTCCAAGATATATAAACGATTTGCTGCATAGTCCGTCAATTCGAAGGCATTGAGTATTTTCAGAGAAGCTCCAATCCAGAATGAATAACAAGTATCTACCGGCTTATTGGGACGTCCTTGGAAACCATCCACTTGGCGGAATATGCACCAACGTTTAATACCCTCTAAAGTTTCGTTGTCAATACGCTGTAATTGACCGCTTAAATGTAAAGCGGCCAAAGCACAATAAGTGGTACCACCATGACCCTCAGCTTCCAAATTTTGACTGAAACCATAGTCATAACGCTATTGAAGAAAAAAACACATTTAATATTCCTTATTTCTTATTTTTCATTTGTTATTTAATACTTACAATACTGCTCATTATAAATTCATACATTTTGTCTTTATCAACATCACCCCAATAGTCCAGCATGTGACATATGGCCGCCGCACAGAAAACAAAACGCATATCATTTTCACTGCCATCTATACAGGCACTAAAACTGCCATCAGGTCTCTGGACAGCAGCAACACCTGGTTAAGAAAACATTCAAATGTTTCAAAAATATTGTGGAAACGCTTAACTAATTTTGGTGATAAACTTACCATCTACTATACTTTTACGATCTAAACGTGACAAATCATCACCTAAAGTTACCAAAATACCAATACTAGTATATGTCATAGCCAAATGACCCCATTGATAACATTTAGCATTGGCTAAAAATTCTTCATTATCACTTTTTATCAAAACGGAACGGGAACCCTGCAAATGTGGAAAAATAATACATTTTTAAGATCTTAAAAATTAAGTTGAGATTTACAGATAATTTCAAAGAAATTAAAAAAATATCTAAATTCGGGAAATAAAAAAATAGATTAATTCGTGATTAGTTCCATAATATAGATGGATGGATGTAAATTGAACGGATTATTAGGAATAAGTAGGCATTGCACCATCCTGGCCTCAGTATTGCCGAAACCAGTTTCGTACTACGCGGCAGGTATTCTTCTGTATCTTTCAAAACTGATATATACGAACTAAAATTTTATGGATTTTGCACATATGTATGTATGTCCTCCCTCGTTTATACCGACATGCGTCGTTGCAGTATCATAGAATTATGAATTTGGATTCAGCTCCTTGGCAGTTTTAAATATTTCTCAAGTGCGAATTAACCATAGTTTTATAAGAAGAAATCCTAAACCTTGCGAGTTACGCTATTGATGTTCGAGCAGTAGATCATAAAATTCCACGAAATGCCTTATCTGCTTGGTTAACAATGGAGGAAAATGGAAGATTATTAAAGACGTGATTGTAAATCCTTTGAATGAGTGTCCTTGGGCGAGAAAACTTTCTAACTCTGGATTAAATTTTAAAGTGACACCGACTCAAACAAAAGTTGTTCCTTAATTAAAATTTTATTCAGTTCTAGGTCAATAGCATACGGTGCTTAAAAATGTTGTTGAGTAGCTGAAATTTGTATAATTATGGCAGCTGACCAGTCAGTAGCGTACAATAATCTTTCTTAGGAATATGTGGCGGAGTGTAATTCTTTGGTGGGACCGAAAATGGAAAATTTATGAAGTTTTGGAACTAATCTTGGTTTTACTTTATAGATATGTATGTGTTGTGGGGAATGTTTTAATATAGCTTGGTAAATGTAAACAAACCAGTAACTTCTTTATCAACCTAAAAATCTACATCTTTTGTCTTCATTTAGTAAGTAAATTACTTAGCTTCTTAGCATAGCTACAACTTATCTCTAAACAGTTTAATTCTTTGCGCTAATATTATCAACAAGTTGAGAACTATAATATTTACCTATGTAAAATCCTATAATAAATCATATTCCTATGTGTAGTACATACTACAACCAGTAGTAGGTAGTATGAAAATACACAAAGATTAAAAAGTTTAAGATCTTAATTAAGTCACGTAAAGTTAAAAATAAATACAATCAATCAACAATGCTAATTAACTTACCTGAAAACCAGAGCAATTGCGTTCACCTGGCCGTGGTATGACTAAACTACCATAAATCCAATCTATAATATTTTTACGCATTTCAGGGGTTAATAAGTGAAGGGAATTTAAAACATCTAAACCACAAACGGCAAAAAATGCAATAGTGCTTCTAGAAAGTAAATGGGAAATTACATTAAAAATATAATTAGTAAAATATAATTTGCATATACAAGATATATTTACCTGGTGGAATCGTGCGAGGCCAAACGGGCCGGTAACAAATGTAAAAATCTTACAAAATATTTGGCATGCTTGGAGAGTAAAACTGGCGCCGGTTCTATTGCGGGACCTTCAATATTTAAAGCATCATAAGACATATTTAAGCACAGATGCAGGAACTTTTACTTTTAATAACAATGACTAATATAATGAATGACAAGAATGTATTAAAATTCCTTTAAAACTTTTTTCTTAAAAAAAATCAACCGGTTGTTCCAAAATTTGCGAATGTTATGTATTAATTATCACTTTCAAAAACCCGTAAATATAAATAAAACCAACAAATATGTTTTTTAATGATTGTGGCAGATTTTTATCTTAATTTTTATTTGTTTTTAGATAAAATTTACTCGATTTTATAAAGGTAAAAGAACTAATTAAACACAACACTTATTTTTTGTATCACAAGCAAAAAAATACAGAAAAGGAATTAAATGAAAATGACTCAAAAATGTCAAAATCAGCTGAAAATGCAAATGTCGAAAACAAACAACTCTGTCTTAGGCTACAGCTGTTTGGCATATTTACAATTTCCGAACACTTCCACGCTGCTTCTACTTCAAACCAGCTTTGTTGATGTCAACCAAGCTGCACCTTTTTACATTGCTGGTGTGTCATACCGTAAAAGGCTAGGACATCGAACATGTGTAAAATAAATGGGAAGTTCAGTTGATGTCAATTCTGCCGACTGCGAAAAGAAATTCTGTTAGAATTTTTTCGCGCCAAACTGTTTCCTGCTTTTTTAATTGCAAAAAAATCTGTTGTGGTATGTGCAAAAATCTAAAAAGACAGAAATAATATTCTTTAAATAAAAAAATATTTTTTAATAACAATTGAACTTAGAAATTAATAAAATTGTATGCTATACTATGCCGAGGGGCATTGTGCAAAGAAACAGGCAAGTGTTGGGTTTAGGTTAGGTAAGTGGGTTGCTCTCTAGCAAGCGAGTTCACTCGGAGGCCTTGTGGCCCATTGTGATACCCTTAGAATTACCATTCCCTAGCATTGAGTCTAGGGACGACCTTTTGCTAGCGCATTCATCAGATATTTCATTTCCCCGGATGCCCTCATGTCCTGGAACCCATATCAACTCAACGTGATGTTGTGTCAGTTGTGCCAATGATTGAATACAATTGAGAAGACATTTCGACTTAATAACATTGGAGTTAAGAGCCTTGATTGATGCAAGGCTGTCCAAGTATATATGTATAGTAAAATTTTCGAGATTTAGTTCCCGGATCCTTCTCGCGGCTGTATAGATGGCATATATCTCTGCCTGAAGGACCGTGCAGGTGTCAGGTAGTCGAAGAGACAGTAGAATATTAAGTTTTTCGGAGAAGATTTCCGATCCCGTGCCCTTTTCTGTCTTTGAGCCATCAGTATAGATTGAGATCACGTCGTCTCTTACGACAGTGTTCGCGACCCAATCATCCCTTGTCGGTATTCTGGTCTTGAACGACCTATTAAAATTCAGTGTAGATAGAATATAGTCTATTTCCTGCCTATCTTTTGCAGGATGGTGTCATGACCAATGCGATTTAGCAGAAATGCATTCTACAGGAGTGGAGAGATGAAACCACCTTGTGGTGTGCTGCTTGTCACTACTTTCCTTGTCTTGCCAATGCCCATATTAGCCATTAAGGCCCTGCTCTTGAGCATGTTTTCTGTTAAATTTTTTATCCACTGATCAACACTTAGTTCACACAGTGCATCGACTATTGCGGATATGTCCACGTTATTAAACGTACCCTCTATTTCCAAGAAAGATGCCATAACATATTCATTTATGTCAAGTGCCTTCTCTATAGTTCCGACAACGTCATGTAAAACTGTCTCCATCGACCTTTCTTTCAGGTATATGTGTTGTGCCCCACAGAAATTATCAGGAGAGATGATGTTTCTGACATGGATGTCGACCAATTTTTCCAATGTTTTCAATAAAAACTATGACAGACTGATCGGTCTATAGTCTCTGGCTGTACTATGGTTCTCTTTTCCCGCTTTGGGGATAAATACCACTGTAACCTCTCTGCATACTTTAGGAATGTATCCTGTTTCCAGGCTGCTTCTAAATATCATAATTAGAAATGGCATGATGGTGGTTATCGATTTTTGGGGTAGTGCTGGGAATATGACATCTGGCCCTGGAGATTTATAGGGCTTGAAAGGTGACACCGTCCACGAAATTTTTTCCACACTAACAATGGAGCTGACTAATTCACTTATTCGAGAAGCTGCGAGGTGCTCCAAAGTGGAGCCTTCATTTTCATCATCTCTGCAACCCGGAAAGTGTGTCTTTATAAGCAGTTCCAGAGTTTCGGTGGTATTTTCAGTAAAATTACCATACGGTTTCATCAGAAATCCAGGCGTA